CTCCCAAGTTGAGAAGATTTGAACTTCGCTTCTCTCTACTTTACGGATGCCTACAAAGGTGTATTGCGCTGGAAATGTCACCGTCTACCTTCGCTAAGTACTCCCATAATCCAGTGGCCGCCTATTAAAGTCACTACTTTCAGTTGTTAAATCATTGCATAAAATAAATTGACAAATAAACTTAAAAAATCTTGAAAAGCAAATGACATACCCGAATCTCATCAACATTATTACAATGCTTTAGTAATTGTTCCATAAGAAGTTTGTACCTGGAATATCTTTCATCTTTAGATGCAAAAAGACTTAGGTAACATTACCTGGTACATCGCTGTACTGGCTTGATGCGCATAGAGTGGAGAGAATTGTTTTGTTCCAAACCATGTTTCTCTCTGACACACTATAATGGACAGTATAGATACAGAAAAAAATTGAGTTACAGAGGCAAACAGATACGATTCCATAAAAATCAGGTAAAGCGGATGAAGGAGAGTAAACCTACTTCGAAAAAAGAGACGGCCTCAGGCAATGCAACAACATGGTTATTTTGCTCCATATTTACACAGTAATCGGTGTAGAGCTCATTAAGGTAATCCACCCAAACAGTAAAGGAGCAGCCAACTTCTTCTGGATCATCTTCATACTTTGAGAGTTCGTGGAAGAATTTTCTAAAAATAGTGAAAAGCTTTATAAGGCGTTGCAGCGAAGAATTAACAACATTTCTGCGCACTGCCGGCACGTTAGAGCATTTGGAGAAAGCCGAATCTCGAGCTCTGAGTTACTTGCACGACGCATAACCCACGACCCTCCCGACCAAAAATTTCTCTGCTCCTTTTCCGCGGCTCGACAATGGATTAATAGCAGTTGTGTGAAAGATCTCTCAAATCCTCAGAAAGGACGGAAAAGGTAGAGCAAATCGACTCACTCAGAATGAAATGCGTACAGTTTTTCATAGTTGCCGAATATTGCATGACGGCGATCTTTTAATACGATGGGAAGCGTAGAATTTGCTTCTGCAGCATCATACTCAGCAATGTAAACCTGGAAAGTTTTTTCTAGATTGACATTAGCATTGAACAACTAACATTTCATAGATTTAGAAAAAAACTGTAAGAGTATGATTCAATACATGATATGGTACAAGAAGTAAATTGTTAAGCTTCTTAAAAAAAAGGTTCTATTAAAAAAATTGTCATGCATGCCAAATTAATATATGTGTTGGGTGGTTTTTTTACACATTAAAAAAGCTTAAAAGACTTAACTACCTGTATGCATTTCCTCAGATCATCGATATAATCTCTTTCAGATTTGATCAGCTCATGCATTGGCTCCCTGAAGACACATTAGCATGAGAATGCTATACCACCCACTGACGTAAACGATACAACGTCCCTTTACGTGTACTATGCATAATTTTGCCAAATCGTGTTTGTCTGCGTGAGAACGCGTTCAGTATTCGACTACTACAACATCAAGAAAGAAAAAATGAATTGCCATGGAAAAGGGAAAAATATACTGCTCTGACTCGGAAGAAAGCGGCTAGCAACTTGAAATAGGTTCAATATTTGCACAGTACTAAATCACGGATTAGCCATTACCATGTTGGAAATCCGCATGTATATTATAGTGCTAATTTAGGAACAACCGATAGCAGGTGACTCCAGAAAGTTAAACACCATACTTCATTTTCCTATTCTGTTCCCGCTTCAGTGCGCTCACATTCTCCTCAACGCTCGCGTCAGAGAGGCGATCAAGAGAGAGATCATCTTTCTGGGGAAAACTGCGAATTAGTTCAAGATAAAAACTACATAAGAGCTACCACCATTCCACCATCATAACTAAAACTCAAAAATGGAACTAACCGGAGATGGTTTCCCACCTCGGAGAATAGTTTCGCACTCAGCTACTCTACGTGAAAATTTTTCGAATCGAAGGCGCACCTATAATAGAAAAATTGATGACTTGGATATATGAACAACCAAACTCAAACTCACATCGTCCATGCACTCAGCGATGTCAGCAGCATGCTGCTTGGCCTCGTCCCTGATGGGACCAGCCATGCACAAAAGAGTCTGGATCTTAGCTCTTTCTTCCTTAAACGAGATAGGTCAAGCAATGAAAGTTATACAATGAATCTCACTATGCGCCTACCTTGACTATAAGTTTGAAAGTGTGGAAATCCTCTAATGTAGCTTGATCAGCAATGCCCTTACTGATAAATTCTGAAAGACGACGTTCTCCTTCTCCACATAACCAGTCGACTATGACATGACGAGTTGCATCCATCAGTACGAATTGTTGACATCTACAAATACGCAAATTGTCGATACGAAAGTTTTATGGTATAAAATGTTTTTATGAGAAACTTGATCATGTTACCTATCCAACTGTTTCTTTTTCTTTGTCCATAGTTCAAGTATCTTTGATTGCCGTTCACGTAGATCAGATTTCATTCGTATGATCCTTTCACTATCAAGTCTGTGAAAATTTTAAATTATTCTTCTCGCTTCAAGCAACATGTAACTTACCTATTCTGGACGCCACTACTGGTTCTCTCAATATATTTGAGAAACAGTTCACTAGTTTTCTGGGCGTATATACATCCTTTGAGAAATCTATCTTTATAGTCCATGTGCTTACTAAGCAATTCGGATATGACATTGACCCTTTCCTGAGGTGTTTCTCCCGCCCTGACAGAGCACCAGTCACGATCAGGATTCTGAAAAGGATGAAAATGGTCAGTAGAGTATCATACTGATATGTCAACATCACAGAATGGTAAGGATGTTGATAGTGCTCCAAACCTGACTATAATCCTTTTCCAGCTGGTCAAGAATAGGATAGACCCCAGTGAGATAAGTTTTATAACAAACTATGGCAGCCTAAACAAAGCCTCCGTTGATATGAATTAACCAGTAAAACAATTTATTTGTAGCAAAAAAAAAGGTAGGAGTTAGCAAACCGTACTATGAACCATTGTATTACTCAGATTGAAATAACTTAAAATACCTTTAGAAGTTTGTTCCGTTCTTCTGCAAGCCCACTTAATCGTCGCCAACGACCTGTGACCATCTCATTTAATTCAACTACTGCAGCTCGATCAGTACAACCTTCTCGGATCAGATCATTAGAAAGCTCGTAGAAGACGCGTACCGAGTCCATATTGTTCAACTTGATTCAGTATATCAGATAATAATTTAATGGATCTCCTAAAACCACAAACACATACCTCTATTCGTTTTATGAAAAGTTCGTGTGCTTCTTGCGCTCTTAAGGCTTGCTCAAGATCTGCAG